TAATTCAACTTTATTATTTAGCAAAAATAAAGCACATGAAAGAATCTAACTAAGAAGAAGAAGAAGCAACTAAATTAATTTCCCGTAAAAAAAAAAATGCGTTTTCAAAGAAGACGTCAATTTTTTTAGAACGCAAATTATAATTGCGCTTTAATAGAAAATGCAATTTTTTCTTACATTTTCATCCTTTTTAAATTATTTTTTAATTACATTCCTTCTATAACTTAGTTTTAAACGATGATTTTTCCCAAAATTTCGCCTATTTTTTTCTAGCTTCATGATTAGATTATCTTTTTTGGAAAAATTTGGGGCAAAACCATTTCATTTAAATCCAAAATGAGATTACAAAAGAATGAAAATAAGAAAATTATAGAAACAAAAGAGCTTCTTCTAAAAGACCAAAAGCTCCAAAAATCCCACACAAAAACCTTGGATGAGATCAAAAGGCTATCTAAATATCAGTAAAAACAAAAGCCCAAACAACTAAAAGAACCTTCAAAAGAATGATGGCTTAGAATCAGATCAGCAATATTCAATCAGATTTTTTCTTAGCACGAGAAGGCAATGAGAACTCCCATGGTTCCTCTAAGACTGTCCGAAGGGAGAGGTCACAAGGCAATATATCATCATTGTCAATGGCCCCAAAAATCCCGCCAGACTAAAATCAGACCAAAAGAGAGCATCATGAAAATTCGCAGAATCTAGATCAATAACAACAGAGAAGGAGAAGAACTGCACCCAACATAACAGCCATATTCATAGAGCAGCATAAGAATTCCAACCCTTGGCTCTAGTAGTTCACAAATTCCCTTAACTGGTCCTTGTTCTTCTAAAGAGAAATCTTAAGACCAATAGCCTTCTTAATTTTACCGTTCAAAGTAACAGCACAACAAATAGAGGAACTAAATTTCCTTTTATTTCGTTCACGCTAAATATGATATGTAGAGTAGTTCATAATGAGTAGATACAGGTTTTGAAGATCCGCCAGCTAATAGGATTTGCTCCCTAGTAGATCAATGACCTTGGCAATGTTTTGTCTAAGATGAAAGTTTTGGCAACAAGAAGATGGAAGTAGAACAGACAACCAAAAATGAGTAGTCATGTTCAAAAAATAAGTGATTAGAGCTTTCAAAAAAAATGTGACAGATAGCATACTTTGAATATATCCACACAAATGTTTCTTTTATTAAGAGCATCTGCCATTTTTAGCCCACCAAATATAGCCAACCACGCAAAAATAGAAAACTTTAAAGCTTGTCGTTTGTGCCAAATGAACATGTACCAGTCATTAGAATTATCTTCATTAAAGTAATCACTATAAAATTCTTTAAATGAGGCATCAGCAGTATTCTACCATAGGAGGCTGATAGAAGATGTGTTGTATATTGAAATGGAAGAGATAATCTCTCTCAAGGGAGGGATCATCAGAGCAAGCAAATTCCAGTAATTGTCCACAATCCATACGGATATCTTGGCCATAGCATGACACAGTTGGGCAATGGATTGGTCACAATTATGCTTAGCAATAGAAGATCCATTGCACCAGTGATTCCAACATATGGCAATAGGGCTATTAGCATGAATTTTAAGTTTAAATCTAGCTAGTTTTGGCTTTAAGAGCAGTACCATATATACTTTTCCAATAAAAAAATGATGAGGCAATGGGAGGCTTCTACAAGGATCTACATGTAGCAACTAGCCAATTGGTAAGGGGGGAGGGAGAATTGTAAAGCCTGTAAATGATGGTGCAATTGAAAGCATGTCATAGAGCATGCAGAGAAGGAATCCAAAGACCGCCCTTGCACTTAGGCTTACTAGTATTGTACCAATAAATGAGATGTAGTCTCTTAGCTTGAGTATCCCCATAATAGAAGAATTTAGCACATAATTTTTTTATGGTTTTACATATTATTTTAGGAATGATAGCACCCTTAATCAAATAAATGATGGTATTGGAGATATTATATTTGATGAATTATAGCTTACCTACAAATGAAAGTGATATAGTTTTCCAACCAGAGAGATGATTGGCAATCTTCTCTAATAAATGAGAGAAATTAGAAAGTTTGGTTCTCATCGGTGAAATGGGGAGGCCAAGGTAGTTGAAATAAGTGATTGTGTTATTGATGAGGAGAGAGGAGGTCATCACAAAAGGTGAGAGAGTATTAGGGGAGATGATAAGGGAAAATTTCTCGTTATTGACATGCAAACCTGTCAAATTTGCAAAAGCTTTAAGAGTATCCATATGAGTGCAACAATTTTGATTAGTATCTTCCAAAAAAACCACCATGACGTCAGTGTATAATAGGTGTGATATAGAGAAGCCTTTCATTCTGATGCCCTCAAAAACTTTGGAGCATTCAGACTCATCAATAAGGTAAGAGAAGACATCCATGATTATGTAAAAAAATAGGGACTTAAAAGACAGCCCTGCCTTAGTCCTGAGGATGAAATGAAGTAGCCTTCCAGTGCTCCATCAATACATATTGAGAAGTTAACATCAATTATGCATGCTCTGATCCAAGAGATAAAAATAGGAGGAAAGCCTTTTTGATCCAGTATAGGAAGGAAACTTTTGGAGAAGAAAGACTTCATAGAAATCAAAGTTGTAACCATCTAGCCTAAGAGCAGAGGATGATGATCCAGAAAATATAGCAGCTCTTATTTCATCATCAGTAATCGGCCAATTAGATAATTAATATGTTGTTGTTGAAGAATATTACCAGTATGGAGGGGGATAAGGTCAGAATCAAGAGGTGGGGTGTTGTAGACTTCTTTAAAGTGCTACAGGAGAACATTTTGAATAGGGCGAGACCCAAAATTAGTCTCTGATAAGGCAACAGAGATTGCCTTTTTGTTATAATAGCCTCTCTTTTTAATTTGTGAGTAAATAAACTTCATATCCTCTTCACCATTCATGAGCCACTTAACCTTAGAATATTGTATGGTCCATGAGGACCAAGATGTAATTAAACACAAGTTCTTGCACTCGTGAAAAATTGACATCCAAATCAAATAAATCTCATTTGAGCTGATGCATCGAATGAAAGATCTCTCATGATTTTTGGGTCATATATATTATTATCCATGGAGGTGTGTAGGTGAAAGTCACTATCCTCCATGGTTAATCGTATATATGATCTCATCTGCTCTCCCATTGACCTGCTTGCATAGAATGTAAATGTCTATGACCGTTTTATCCTATGGGATAATGTGATCATACCCTTTATAGTTTGATCCCCCCATGCAACATCCTTTCGGAGACCCATATTCACATGGTCTGATTATAGACTTTGGGAGCATTTAGATAGGATTTTATTTAATTTTTAGTGTCTCTCTTTTTTAGAATACTTCTATAGAGCATCTCAGTAGAATAACTTATAATTATGCTCTCCTTCTCTTCTGTACTAAGCAAGTTATGGTGGTTTTTGTCCTTTTCATTTTTAAAATGTGTGCCTTAATTCTAATAATTTTTTAAAGTGGTGGAAGCTAATTAGTTGACCCCTACTTCTTATTATGATGGCTCCGATGACATTACTAGATTTACTCTTAAACTTAAACATCTTAAGCAAGTGATTAGATTGTGGAACAATTATATTTTTGGCAACATTTTTTATAATATCATCAAAGCTAAGAAGGATGTCATTAAGTTGGAGAATAATTTCATTGCTAATGGGATTGATGAAAATAAATCCTTATTAATTAATGCTAAAAACATGCTTTCTAACCTACATTTTAAAGAAGAAGAATGTTGGCGCCAAAAAGCTAATTCCAAGTTCATTTCTAAAGGTAACAAAAATATTAAATACTTCCACGCTCTTGCTGATAAAAGGAAAGATAAATCTTTCCTTCATAAAATTAAATTAGATTGTGGTTCTTATCAATTTTCCTTTTATGATTAGTTGTGTCTTAGCTTTATTATTGATCCTTTTTTGGTTATGTTTGTTGTATATTTCATTTTTCTGGTTGGTTGGTTTCTTTATTGTTGTTGTTATATTTATGTTTCTATGATATTTTGTTTAGCTAGATGCCTTTTGTGTTTGTCATTTGAAGGTGTGGTTCATTTTATGGTGTGTGATGGTAGTTTATTTTTGGATGGTTGCTAGTTTTTTTTTTTTCCCTTTATTTTAAGGGTTTGTGGTGCTCTATCATCTGCTTCTTTAGCATCTTAATCTATCGACCTCTGGTATGTGTTTTCATTTTTTTTTCCTTTATTATTTGTTGTTCTTGCAGGTGCATTTTTTGGAATTTAAGGATTGTTGATTCTTTGATGCCCTGTTGCTACTTATGTTGGAGTTTTTTTATTCGGGCTTCATGCCTACCATTTTCTTTTTTCTATTCTATGTAACTAGGTAGGGATCAGAGGCTTTAGGTTTTATTTTTCTTATATTATAGCTCTTTGAGCATTTAGAAAGCTATTAATCCCTTTAAGAACATTGTACTCTTTTTACTGATGAAAAAAATGCACGCCCATTAAAAAAGGATGATGGAAATTTTGAGTCTAACCATAATTCATAAAAAGCTAATGCCATAGAAGTGTATTCATATGATCACACTAATATCCCATTTTAGTAAGGGCGTAACACGTGCTCTTTGATCGGGTGGTTAGCCTAAATAACGACACCATTATATTATGATTATGCCTTAAGCCCACATATTTCTCAATGGTCAAGTCTATGAGTTGTGAGCCATAAGATATATCAGCTAATATCGGCTTAACATCATCGTTTTAGGTAAGCTTCCATCCCAAGTCTATGGGATCCACTAAGATAAAGTAAATCTTGGTTGTTGACAAGGATACTTAGGCATATTGGGTTGACTATATAAGCCATGTTCTTGACAACTCAAGACTATGAAAACATCAGATATTAATCCGTTTCATTATCATTTCCCCCTAATTCACTCAAAACAATAAGGATATATCTCTTCCTATAATTCAAATTGCTGCAATTTGAATTATAGGAAGAGATATATCCTTATTGTTTTAATAATAAATGGGCTTGATTTAAAAAAAAAAAGACTTTATTGTATTAATAACATAGCATCAGTTTGCAAACCATAGACCTTCTTCACACTTTATAAACATGAACAGTTAGCAGTTTTGGTTCATATATTTCTGATTTGTAACCTCTGCAGCCAGTTATTTCTGCCACTTTTTTTAGTGACTAAAAAATAACCAGACAAGTTAATATCACCAGTAAGTAAACGGAGAGAATGAGCTTGTTTCCATGATCATAGTCATTGTAATCTCCATCATAGAAGCCAGTGTACCCGAAATTCTCCAGTGGGTTGAAATCACCTGAAAGCAGTTGAAATCTTCAAATTTTAATATATATTTATGTATAATTAATAGAACATATTAATAAATCCTAATTATTTTAAACAGTAAAAGTTTAATTTGTCTCACCTAAAATTAAAAATTAATTTTTGATCCCTATTTGGAAAATTTTCTTGGCTCTGCTGCAGAGTCCTACATTGGGTACCTATACCCACACCCACCCACATACGCACCCATACCCAATGGGCATGGGTAGGTATGGGTACTCTCATAGTCTCATGGGTGGGTTGGGTGGATACTCAGCATCAGAGGACAAACAGATTTACATTACTAATCATCATATTCATGCGGTATATTATAGTAATCCTTACTACGCAGTGCGCAACACTGAACCGCGTCGCGACCACGATAAATTTTGATGTGGCTTGAAAGTTTGCAGTTAGAGAAAAGGGCAAAAAATCGATCTCAAGGCCATTAATCCGTGACAGACTGCATTCAAGAAGCATGAAAAGTGGGTGGGTATGGTGGGTATGACATCCCGAAAGTCACCATAGATGGGCGTGAGTGGGTGGGCAAAGCTCTCCAGTGCAGAGTGTGGGTACCCAACCAGGACCCCATGTAGGGCTCTGCTCTGCTGCTACTGCTTATACTTCTTACCTCTATTTTCGCCATGGCTGCATCCCCGGTCAAGCGCATGCCGAACAAGAAGCAGCGTCGCGCCATTATAGAACCTGAAATTGTTGAAGATGTTGTGTAAGCATTGCAGCACAAGCTTAGTCTCTAGCAGGCATGGACCTTCGCAGTACTCATCGACGGCTTCTTGTGGAACTTCAATGCACCCTCGTACATTGAGCCTGTAGGACTCCTGACAAGTGCTGTATAACTTCAGGCCAGTTTCATGGACCAAACAATAAACAAATATAGTAAGCTTCCATTACAGTTGTAATTAAGAAGTTCTAGAAGAAAAAATGATTTTTAAGTAGAAATTAATGTCTTCCATGACCTACATAGTGATCGTCGAAACATGCCATAGCTTTGGTGACGATGTCCACAGCATCTTGTTCTACGTCAAGAGTATTGTTCACACAATGTACAGTTTGTTAATGAGTAGTTAACTTTGCTGTAATAATAAGATAAAAAGAGAAGAGAATAAAGGTTATAACAAGCAAACCTGAATTGCAACAAGTAGTGATACTAAATAAGAGAAAGACTAGGACAATGCACTGACGCTTGAAGTGAAGAGAGGAAGCCATTAATGGAGATCGAGAGTGATCTGTAATGATCACAGAAGGCTATTGTAGTTAAATATTTGTAATCATGTTACTAGCTACCAATAGGAAACTTTGTATAAGTTCTAAACTAACTCAACTTCTCTGTAAGACTATTATGATCTTCTCTTCTATCTTTTCTAAAGTGCAAAATTTAAACTTTTTGGTGTATGGGGAACCAACCGATTATTTTTCTGCTGTAAAAACGCCCCTCTATCAGAACATAATGACACCAGGAAGCCGTCTACAAGAGCAAATCTGTAATGGAATGGATTTGAGAGAAGGGGAGCGTTTAGTAATTTAGGATTCTTTAGGACGTGAGGATGTCATGTTTGGTGGTTTATTAATTGTGTGTTGTGGGGGAATAAAATTTGGTAAGAATATAGGGACCAACTCCCTAGAGCTGCCTTGTTCGCTTAAAAGGCTCAGCGGCAAGAGACAAGATAGCAAACAATATCATCATTTTTGTAAGACAGGCCGAGAGACCTCTCTCTCTCTCTCTCACACAAAAGATTATAATATAGAGGAAATTTTAACATTAAGTATGTTTAATAATTAAATTAATCATTAAAGTATGATTAAAATAAAATTTAAAACTAGGCAAAGTCGCTTCTTTAATGGGCGATTTATGCTGATTAGGCAATGCTGGGTCAGATAGACGTTCTTATTTTAAAAAAATAAGATGTAATGTACGAGTTAATGTAAGTCGCCTGTTGAACCGCTACTTACATTAAAAAAAAAATTTTAAGAAAATGCATGATATTGCTAATTAGGAATGAATTGATGACTTAACAAATGGGTGGCTTACATTTATTTATTTATTTATTTTTAAAAACACGGCATGGCTAATTCGGGCATTGGATCATAAAATAAGAAATGGCTATTTGTTGGCATTGGGCTTCTTGTGTGATAGAAAACTTCACCTCAAACTTAAAGGAAAATTCTATAAAATGGTGGTGAGACTTATTATGCTTTATGGTGCAGAATGATGGCCATTAAAAAGGAAGCATAATATTAAGTTAAGTGTTGCAAAGATGAGGATGCTCACGGGTCAGCTTTGCTCTTAAAGACAGTATACGAAATGAGCATATAAATGAGATGGCTGGAGTAACTCCTTTTAATTTGATGTAAGAATTTTAAACTTATATCTTGAAATTAAAATTTAAAAATCTATTTTTTTAATTAAAATTTTAAGATGATATTAATTATATTAAAAATACTAAATACTAATATATTTTAATTGTATTTTATATTAATACTTTTTAAATCTCACAAGCTATTAAATAAAAGTTGGATCAAACTTAGCACATTAGCTCATCGAACTCACCTCACAAGTCATTTATCAAATTGAACTCAAGCCGACTCACGAGTTGACTTGGCTCACACCTCTAGTAAGAAAATTTTCTATTAGAAGAAAGCATCACCTAATAGGCTAAGAGCCATTCTCCAGGTTATCTAGATAAAAATCTTGCCCCATGCGTTGTTTGGTGCGCTAACATATTAATTAAAGATATTATATTTCCCAATTCTTTCATGAAAGAGGAAGTAAATTAGAATGCAAGTTATCAATTGATAAAAATTATGAATTAAAAGACCACCTGCATAACTGGTTTCTAACGACAACAAGTTGTTTTTGTCAACAATTAAATGATTTTTAATACAACTTTGCTGGTTATATCTGAAGAGATTCAGAAGATTTACATATAATCCTACTCATTTTTCCCCTCTGCAGTTTCCATCTTCTGCATTTTCTCCAGAAGAAAAAGAAAAAATATGTGCATGGGGTAACCTTACACATTTACAGAAGGAAAATAGCTCTATTGTACTCTGCATGAGCTCCTTTTCCGATGGTTTCCTTCATTGAAATATTAGCAGGAAGCTTTGGCCCTCCATTGAAGATCAACTTATGGGCATATACAACGTATTGTAGGCTTTTTAAGTTCATTCTTTGTTAATGTGCGAGAGAGATTATTCACAAAACTGATTGACCACAGGATGATCACTTCCCTATCAACCCAGCCAAACAAGTTCCAAACACAAACCAGTTCAATTTATTGGCTGATCCAACATTTGGATTTCAGCTGGAAGTATGGAATACCTGGAATAGAGAAGAAGGAAAAACACTAAAAATTAGCCAGAACGTTACAAGCCCAAACTAATAAAATTTTTCAAAAAGAAAACATCTATAAAACCAAATTGTACGACTTATCTAAGGTTGGATTTTGCCTATTTTGTTTTATTATTTCTGTTTACAAAAATTAAACAAGTGTAGAGAGTAAATTTGTGAGAAGGCAGTAGATTCTTGTTAAGAAAACAAAAGCCCAGTAAGAACTTAGGTATAATGTAAGGAGAAAAAAAATTTGATCAAGTTGGCATGATCAAAATCTCTCTGAGTCTTCGAATTAGCCTTGAGCTGGAGAAATTATTACGTCCTCTGACCGGACGTAGAGCTACATTCGGCCTCCAATAACATGTCGCCACGTGCTCTTACTCTTTACCGGGCGGCCCGACGACTTGACCCGGACCGAAACCTGCGAATGCTATGTTCGCGTATTGCGAGGTATTACTCGGTATTGGTAGGTATTTCTTGGCAATAACGAGAAATACAGCTCTATGAAGACCAATACCGAGCAATACTGAGTTGTACCGAGTTTTCTAGAAAAACTCGGTACAACTCGGTATTGCTCGGTATTTGATCGGTATTTGCTCGGTATTAGTTATTGCCGAGCAAAATCGATCAATACCTAGCAATACCTAGCAAAATCGAGAAATACCGAGCCATCCTGGGTCCGTTCCGGGTCGGGTTGTCAGGGCGAGAATGCGTGGCGCGATTCTATTGGCGGCCGAACGTAGAGCTACATCCTGTGACCGGACCAAATAAAAGTTCCTTGAGCTGAGTGCAATAAACAGATAGTCAATCAAAATATATATTGTCCTCATCTAAAAACAAATACAACAACTATAAGAGCCATTCCGACCAAATTTGGGACATAATGTCCTGACTTGAACAAGAGAAAGGGGAGAAAGAAAACAGAGAAGTATCTTCCAAATTTTTTGGATGAATACATCATCTTCCCAATTACAAGCCATAAATCCTATTATTTATTGAAAAAGACATACAAAGATAAAAAAATGCTAACTTGTAATAAAATATAATCCTAATAAATAAAATAAAATGAAATAAACCCTAAAATAATTCAGATGCTAAAATATTCTAACAATAATTCAGACTTGTTTTCTTTTATTGCATCACCTCGCCTAATTTCTAGAAATTTAAAAAGCATTCTCAAAAATATTTTAACTCGCTTCCAAAATAATACTTAAACCAACTTTTAATTAGCAAAACTTGTTTGATAATCAAGAAGCCAATAATACTTTTAGAGGAAAAGAAATGCATGAAGATAAAGAAGTTTAAGGATAGAAGTAGAAATTGAGAAGAGGAGCTTGATGCAACTCATCTTGATCTGTTGTTTGAGAGCTATGACTATCAACTAAGAGGTCTTGAGTTTGAAACATGTATATGTGATATGTGTAAAGTACCACCACCCAAAACAAAAAAAAACAAAAACAAAAAAAAAGCTTGCAAATAAAGAGATCTTTTAACATTTCATGCAAACAAAATGTGTTGCATTGCAAATGAGGAGATTATATTATATTGGCCATTGTTTTTTTAATGGATAAGAATCATCCAAATAGTCACTCGAGATGCTCCCGATATGTCCAACATCAGTACACCAACTTTCTTGAATTAATCTAAAATTTAAATGGCAACTATCTCAAGTTGGAAGTAGACAAACAACACCAAAGATGCTAGCAAATCAAATAAGCCTTACATTTGTGGGCTCCGAAAATTCGGCCCCGGCCTCCGCTCGCTTTTTCTTATTCGGCGAGGGAGTTTTAACGGACTAAGCTCCGAGGTAAATTTTGGAAGGCAGATGGGTTTGTAGATAAGATACTACCCAGAGATTTCGTCCTCATTTTGTGAGGACTTTATGATCTGAGTTCTGGTTTCCTATAGGCGCAAGCCCCTATAGTTAATTACCCCTCCCGATCACGAGAGAGAACTTTCGATTAAGGCTAGCCGTCAATCAGATACGTAGAACACCAACTTTCTTGAATTAATCTGAAATTTAAATGGCAACTATCTCAAGTTGGAAGTAGACAAACAACACCAAAGATACTAGCAAATCAAATAAGCCTTACATTATAGGTAAGTTATATCCTAATCATTGACATTAAGATAAACATAAAATTTTTCTTTAATTTAGCAACCTAATTTAATTCAGAGTATCAAGGCAAAATAGCTTTAGAGAAAGGACCCCACTCCGAGGTGTTGCAGCAGCCAGTATTTGATGCACTTACAGGAAAAGCAAAATAATCCGTACAACTCTGAAGGAAAAAATTAGCATCATTGCATACCTTAATCTTGTTCGAGAATCCTACAAAAAGTTTCCCATGCCAATGTAATAGAGAAGTTATCACAGAATCAAAAATTAGAGAAGCCACAGGTCTGACATCCACTTGCAACTCATCTTCTATAAGCTCCTACGAAAGTAAAATAAATTTGGAATTTGTTAGAGAAAGGGACAAAATAAATAAATACACAGCATTCTTTTGTTCATATTATCAAAATTAAAATAACACATATACAACCTGGATTTGAACAAGCGTTCTAGCCTAAGAAGCTGTTATTTGATTATTAAAAAAACACAATAAGAAAAATAATTCAACCACACCTGAATGCTAACTGTCATATCCCAACCTCCAGTGCACATCCATTTTGAATCTACATGCAGTGCAAAAATTGCACCCTTCTGAATTTTTATTGATTTAACAAACATATCATTCCTCCAAACCTGATGAAAACAATTTTACAAGCATGAACTTTGTATTAGAACATAGAGGTGCATCAGAACATAAACATGCCAAAGCATCTGTGCACATACTTACATATGCTAGAAGCATGCATTCAAGTTCTCGTATGTATTTATGTGAACAGAAATGCATGAAAAGTTAAATGCAATTTTCTATTTAACAAGAGAAATTATCTTTGAAAATGGTATAAGTTTTAGGATTGGGGAAGCCAACAATAAGGGTTCTCATGCAAATAAATATATTTCATGAAGCACATCCAAACCCAAATGGCATGTTTTAACATATAGGGAAAGGAAATTGGAACAAAGCATATCAATAAGAAGCTAATCAAGAATTTCACCATCAGAATCATTTCAACTGGAACATTTCTCTTATTCATGCCAACGAATGGTTCACATAATGGAACTCGCAGGCGATTAGGGTTTCCACTTGGGCAAATAAGCAGCAAGTTTTCATGTCAAACCTTGAATAAGCAACAGTCTCACCGCATCATTTTGATTTTGCCAGTTAAGCAGGCTTGGCGGCTTACACTTCAAGCACTAATTGTGTTATCATCTTCAACATGAGCCATACCCACCTTTATGAATCTTAATTTTCCCATTCATCCCTCTTGAGCATTAGATATAGCTTCAACTATGTTTTATGCATTTCTTTTTGCATAGCACTGAGCCATTTCACCTTTATTGATCCATTTTTCTTCATAATCCTTTTGCATCAGATATACCTATTCATTTTAGTCCTTAAATTTCTCAGGTTTATATGTACAAATCATTGACTAGACTTTCTACTGATATATCTTCAATAGATACTACTCATTATATATCTCTAATATAAAAATTTCCCAACTCCATCCTTCTTAATTTTATCACATGTCCGTACTAAATTTCATGAATTTTTATATATTTTATATGATTCCCTATTAACATAAATTAAACTTCAATCTTTCTCAGAAGGGCTTGGGACTGACAAAAATGGTTTTAACAATCAGTCATGTTGTTCATTAAACCATATATGATACTTCACTAATTTCATAACCAAGCCTAATAGGAAAAGGCACAATCTTAAGGCAAATAAAAAATCATTTACTACCATTAGAAACTTGAAAAAGTCTGTATTAACGAAAATAATTCTACCTTTTTTTCTTTTTTGGAAAGGTGCGTTCTATTGATTTTACACACAAATAAGTTTGTACCATAAGCCAATTGCATAGTTAGTCGCTAGTTGCCAAGAGTTCAGTATAAAAAATAAGATCAAAAGAAGAAAAAAAAAGATCAAACTGTGAAAAGAGAAACAAGTGACACACAGTATGCTCTAAGCTCTTGGCAGGTAGAACGATGCATTACTACCTCAATAATGTTTACCGCCACTCCAGGGAGATAAGAATAGCCAAAACTTAATATCCGCTTACTTGATTTTCATGTTTTTAAAATTGCCTTTAACCTGCTTGAGTTGAGTTGATTGTTGTGCAAAACGACATGCATACATAGAGAATATCTAAATTATAAAATAGAGTGTATCAAGAATCTCGATGTTGAGTTTTATGCAATCTTCAAATGTAAATCAACAAATAGAATAGTTAAATGAGTCAGGTTTTATCTGTATTTTATGCAAATCAATTTCAAGTATGTGTTCACTCGAAATCAAATTCCAATCATCATGAGTGATTTCAGCAAATCAACAAATTAAAATTCAATTTAAATCTAAATCAAATCAATTGAGTCAAAGTTCAAGTTGAACTGGGCCCAATACTTTTCAGTTTAAAAGCCAGATAATTTAGAGTTTATGTAGAGTGAGGATTGTTATCACCTTAACAATGCCTCAGAAAAAACACATAACTTCAATTCTTACTCATAGGAAAGAAAGCATGCAATCCAGCATATTTTATAATCAAGAACAAAGCCAAAAAAATTTATCACAATAAAAGGCTAACTACATCACAAACCTTCACACACCCATCTTCATATGAAGAAATAACCAAATGATGGTTGACAGAAAGCGACAAAAGAGGATAAGAACCACCAGTTGTGTTGTCGCTCAACTCTGACAAAAGAGAATGGTCATAAAGGGACCATAGCCGAATGGTGCCATCCCAACTTCCACTGTACAGAACTCCATCCGATACAGCTAATGAGGATACAGTTGATTTGTGACCTGTCATTACACAAGAAAGGGAGTAATCCTGCAAAAAAATGAAGGCAAAGACCAAGTTAGTCACACAAAATACATAGTTCATCGTGATATATGTGCTGCAGAAAATAGTGGAATGGCTTTTCATGCAAAGTCTCAAAGAGTAACATATTTAAACAACCAAACTATCATATAGTTACAATCATCATCTATCCACCTATATACACACACCCGTGGATAGCATATATATATTCACCATCATAAGACATTATATCTTTCAATGCCCTCACTAAATATTTTAGGTATGTCTTAGGAATCCTATTTAATATACACGATGCCTTAGGAATGCATGGGAGCAACCCCCTTAAACTTTTGTGAGTTCAATGTTTTATTTTCTTTATTTTATCATAATTCCACATCCACCCCTCGGTTTCTATCTTAAACCTAACCCTAGCCACCATTCTTAACAACCCCCAAACCAATAAACCATCCTCGAGATTGTCCATCTTCATCTCCCACCTCCTTCAACATCCAAACCCTAGTTTCTTCCTTTTGGGTTTAGCTTTCTCACCATAAACCATTATCAATATAATTGTTGCCTTAGGATTGTATGGGACCAATCAAAAAATATTAAATCAATAGCATGGTTTCTTCAATATTAAATGAACATTCAAATATGAAATATGTCACAAATTTAACTCAAACAAGGCTAATACGGGATTTAACAGCCAGCGTATGAGAAAAAATAGAAATTTGGCAACTTGCCTACAAGCACAAATGGAATTACACAGTTGCATTCAGAACTCTTAGAATCATGGACTAAAAGTGAAATTTAATGAAAATGATCAATGCAGTTCTTCTATTAATAGGTAATAAAATAAACTTTGAATGATCTACTGAAACAAAATGAGGACTTTATGCAAGCAAGCCAATATTGCTTTAAACCTAAAACAAGATTCTAATTCACCACGTCACTGCATTCAAAACATACAAAAGAGCATATAGAAGGAAAAATATTTGGCTTTGAAATAAAACTTTGCGTGCATTTTAACATTAAATATTCAAGCAAATAAATAAGAATGAATAGTTTGGGGGTCTCATACATCATGAAGAAACTTAAAATTCAAATACGCCGCATTAAGATTTGTTCAGATGCATCATGCATGAGCACTTAAAAACTTGCAAATCTATCGCACAAATGCATCAAAAATTGTTGAAGTGCATTGAAAAACATGCAAGCATATCAAAAGGCGTTCACATTATTTGAAAGGCATGTTAAACATAAAAATTAAATTGTCTGAATGTGCTCTGAAAAGTGGGCTAAACATTCAACTTGAGGACTAATAATGTTGTGCGGACTAAAAAAATAAGTTAAACTCATATTTTCAATATACAAATTTTTAATTGTAATATCCAAATTTTTAAATAGGTGGATAAAAATTTCTCCTAAAAATTATACCCCATTTTCATGTATTTTAAAAATCATCAAAATTCTTTTATAAAATTTTATATTTCATATATATATATATATATATATATATATATATATATATATATATATATAGTTTGCATTTAATACCCATTCATCGAATATTCTCATTTTCATTTCTCTTTGACAGTGAAGGTATTTTCATCTACTTTCTCAGTGACTGATAAACGACATCAACGTCTGACTCTCGACATCTTAATACTAATCATTTTAAGCACAAATTCTAGTTAAATGACTTCTTATTTCTAAATTATTTTTAAAATTATACTTATTTAATTTTTATACACTATTATTAAAATATAAAAACTATAATACCGTGTCTGTCCTATATTTTCAATAATTGATGTGTCTCGTGTCCATGTCGTGTCGCCGTGTTCGTATCTGTGCATCATAGCTTAAAAGACAATAAAATTCGGTATATATATATATACACATGTAATTACTTATATAATCCTAATAATACTAATATCAAGCACCTACTACTTCCATTCTCCTATCACTCCAATAACCTGGAATTTAGAGGTTGCAATTTTAGCCCAGAAGCTGCTGACAGAAGGGATGAACAAAAAGAGTTGTGATGTAGTTGATGAAAATCAGAGATGAAAAATAGAGGAAAGGAGAAGAAGAGCAAAAGAGGAAGGAAGCTAGGGCTTAGGTAAGAAAATCCGCTTCCTTGATATTTCCAACGTTGAGTTTGGATTCAATTTGTAGGCATTAAAGCTTGAATGAAGAGATTGGATTCAAGTTTTAAGCATTAAAGATTCTGAATGAAGAGATTTTTTTTTTAGGTAAAAATATTATTTTGAGACTATATTATTATTTAAAAAATTATTGTAAAATTGAGAAAGTTATTATTTTGGGTGGCGTACACAAGTGAACAAAATTTCGGCGAGATAATAATAAAGAAATTCATCTCGAGCAAACCTAATAATTTTCATTAGATACTTGATTCCTGATGTAATAGGCAACTCATTCATAGGTCTAATACTTACATATTTTTATGATTTCTTAACTGGTTAGGCATATATTTATAAAATAACTTTATATTGAGCATGTTAATAACAACTAAGATTATCAGAAAGTTTAAGATCTTATATTATCATTAGTTCAAATGATTTTAAACTAATTTTAATAACTGAATGGACTGCCTCAGTCGAATTGATCCTGTAGTGAATTCATCAAGGAGAGTGGATGAGGACGGTAATGATCGGGTGAGCAAACGAGAAGCCAAAATGCGAGAGCAAGCGAACTGGGCCGAAGCGAAGTGAGCCATCGCGAGCTCTGAGTGATCGACACGACTCCTTGCTTGGGTAAATGACCGATTTAGCTCGATTTTGAAAGAATCAAATTCAGAAGGAGAGAAAGAGAGATATTGTAAAATAGAACTCTTATAAAGAGTCACTGACTTGTTAAGCATATCACTACAATCACTCTCAAATGATCTTGTGCTAATAAAAATTCAATGACTTATTAAGCATATCTCTACAATCACCCTCAAATGATCTTGCACTAGTAAAGATATGACGCGTGTCCTCCAATAAGGTAGTTTTGCAGCCAAATGACACTAATAATTAACTGTTATAATCAAAGTCATTTGAACATATGGTTTCGCTACAATATGGCACATATTATGATCACAATTATAGCCCAAATATTCCTCAATAGCTCTAGTAGCTAGCCCAATTATTATGAATCCCATGCTGCACTTGATAGGACTTGAAGTCATCTATAAACTAAATTTGACTTAAATTTACCTCCTTATACAAACATCTATCTCATGTCTATAACGTCTCTATTATGGACGAGACAACTTATAGCTATTGATACCCTTTAGTTAAATTGAATAAAATACCTGCACTAATTAAATAGATTAGGATTAACCAACTTGAGACAACAAAACCATGGAATATTGATCGAGTTCGTCATCATTTTTCTCACAATCCATTTTAAGCTAATGGCGATAAATTTTCTTCAATCCTAAATCCAAAATGTTGTTACTAAATTGTTGTTAGTAAAGCACTTAATGCCTATTGACTAGCCTTAATCGATAATTCCCCCTCGTCATTAAGAGGGGTAATTAGCCACAGGGGATTGCATCTATATCAAACTTGAAACTATACATTAAAATTATCACAAAATGAGGACAAAATCTCTATGTAATGTCTTATTTATAATCTAATTTGCCGTTTAAAAATTTTATCAGAAACAAACTCTCTCAAAGGAGCCGAAAGTGAATTTTTAAAGCCCACGAGACTAGAAGGTATTACTTAGATTAGCACTTCAAAGAATTAAAAAACTTCGAGTACTAGAACACCTTTGGAGGTTATGAGTTGTAAAGAAGAATAACAGAGAAACTAGAGTATGCAAAAGAGAAATACTCAGTGGAATAGTGAGATAGGTGAGAAGAAATCTTTTTTCAATGTATTACGCAGTTGTTTGTTACACTTGGATCCCTTGGTCTCTTGCTGGTTTCACCCGTACTAACTACTCTTATAAAGGTTACTAGAGGTTTTGAAGGCAAAAAAAGTGCTTCATTGTTACAAGAGATATAAATAAAAACATGGAGCTATAAGTCATAAGGAGACATGACCCCCAACCATTTCCACTTCATCTTCCTGTTGTGACCAGGTTGACAGATTACAGAGAGTGGCTGCTCACTAGTCACTGAGGCTGTGCCGTGGAGGAGTGGCATCACTTCGTATTGTAGCAATGGAAGATAAGAGTGGTTACTTCCTAGCTGTTGGGGAGATTCCAACGAGCAGTGTTAAAGTGCTTAGAGGTGAGAGGTTATTCACTTGATCCAGAATGTTGGAGCCACTGATGATTGTTATCTGCTTTCATCAGATAGATGGCTCCTAACTCAGTCCATACCCTCTAATATAGCATTAACACAAATGAAATTATATCTGTGTAAATACTTTTAACTCCTATTTTGAGAGATCAATTTTATATCCCACTCAGCTGCAACACCTAGAAAGTTTAAAGCCATCCAACAAGGGATGCAAAATTTAACTTGGTATAAAATTCTCTAGAAGATATGAATCGAGCAATCAGGATAACTAGAGAATTGAATTAACCTGTAATGACCATGCTTTAACTGATTTGTCACCACCACCACTGTATAGATGACTAGTTCCTGATGCAACCAATGAGTGGATACCACTATAGCGCCAATCATCATGCTCATACCAACTTTTTAGCAATTCTTGACTAGAAGAGTTACTAATGCGCCAAACAAAAATTCCACTTGAACTATCACCACTAATGCAAAGTGGCTGGGCTCCATCTATAACAACCATAGCCATGATTTTATGTTCATGTCCTTTAAGGGTTTGCACAAGAGAGAAGTCCTGGATAGAAAAAACTGACACAATGAACGGAAAGGGAGATTAAATAAAATTTTTCTTTTAGTAAAATTTGCTGGCAATAAAAAATCAAACTACAGCAAGATATTCAGGGTGGGATATCATTTATTATGTCATTCTTATATATTAAAAACGTTTAGGTTGATTAGTATCAACATTCATAAATAAATACAGCCAACAGAAACCAATTCTTCATATTTGCAATACTATTAAGTGTTTGCTAGTATCATGTAGCGTAGAATTCTTATAAACTAAAAATAACAGGCTTATTGAAAATAATTCACATAAGATCAAAGAATGATTCACCAGAAGTCTTGGAAAACTAAAAAAATATAACATAGTTAAAGCAGAACAATCCTAAGTTTTATTGATTTTTTTTTTTTTGAAAAAATGTGCTTATTATTGCAAAATTAGGCACAAATTTAATTAGGAATTTCCTCAACAAGCCATTCCATTTAGATTGTAAGGAGTTTTCTACTTTGCTAGCCCTATATTTTATCATCAATAATATTCCTCTACCAAAAAATTAGTGATTCGTTACAACTGAATCATATGATGGTAATTTACAACCAAGTAATGTCATCATACATTCATACCCTAATGTCAACTTAATTAGATTAAGCACAAATAGTACAAGCTTCTAGTCTACATAGAATATATTCACAAAAATGTACCTGCAGAAACCACATTTTGATGGTCTTGTCAAAGGATGCGCTAAATAGATAACCTCCTACAACATAAAAAAGCTTTCTCATAAGTCTAAATTTCAAAGCACATAAAAGTGCAACTGGAATATTAAGACGCCAATGAACACAAAAAAACGTAGTTACAACCAATATATGCAGAGAATCCTGCTCAGCTACTACTATATCCTGCAGTATAATAATTGATGGAAGACAAGTTGCAGCCCAAATTTCAGGGGGAAAAAGTTGAGGCACAGGAAGAAGAAGGAAGAGAGTGGGGATCCCGAATCATGAAATTAACCCTGTTTTGACATCAAGTCATAACCAATTGCAGCCTAACATGGCCAAATGGCCAGCTACTAAATGTCGGGAGATCAAGAACAACAACATCATCAAGTCTTTATCCCCCTACATGGGTCGGCTATATGAATCTTTTTTTTTTTTCATTGTGTCATGTTAAGAGTCGAATTCTCATTTAAATGTAAGAAAAAAAGGTCATTCCTAATATTTTCTAACCAAGTCTTTTTATGCCTACCTCTACCTCTCTTAACATAAGCCAAATATATACATTTACTCTCCTAACCGGGTCATTAAAAGGTTGACATTTAATGTGATAAAATCATCTAAGGCGACTCTCTATAATCTTATTTACTACTAGAGCTATTCCAACCTTTTCACGTATATGCTCGTTTCGCATTCTGATTTTTAATATCTAAACTAATTTTTATAACAAAATTTGACAATTCATTTTTGTAAATGTCTAGTAAGAACCATGACTAAAGCAAAAAGAGATGGGCTTAAAGCTAATCTGATGTAACCCACCTGAAATAGAAAAATACTTGGTCAAACCACCTTGTGCTTAAACACAAGTAACAGTTCCGGAATACAATATCCTTAATGACTTGAGTATAAGCATTATTAACCCCATCTTTTATACAACTCTCCAGAACAACTCTTCATAGCACTTCTCTTGGAACTTCATCATAAGCTTTCAATAAATCAATAAATATCATATGTAGATCCTTCTTTTCTCACTATACTACTCCATCAAACCTCTCAATAAATATATAGCTTCCATAGTAGACCTACCCATCATGAATTCAAATTGATTTTGAGAAATATTAGTATCACATCGTAACTTATGCTCCATAACTCTCTTCCATAATTTTAAAGTATAACATATGAATTTAATTCCTCTATAAATCGCACACTCATGTGCATCACATTTATTCTTAAAAATAGGAATCAACACACACCTCCACTTATCTGACATCTTTTTCGTCTTCAAAATAATATTGAAAAGTTTCGTAAGCCAAAAAATTCATTCATCACCTAAGCATTTCCACACATCTATCAAAATATCATAAGGTCCAACAGCTTTTTCACACTTCATTTTTTTGAAGTCTCCCTAACTTCGATTTTAATAATACGCTGATAAAAATAAAAATCTTTATTTTCATTTAGGTGTTTAAGATCACTAAACTCAATCATATTCTCACAATCTTCATTGAAAAGTTTATTAAAATATCTCGTCCATATTTACATGTAATCTAAACCGATTTTTATATCTCTTAGCTTTTCTTATCTTTTTGATTGGTTAACATGTACATACATCTTTCACCCTCCTTAGTCTATAATCTATTATATAAATCATTAAAAGATGCATTTTTATATCACATATTATATTCTTAGACTCTATACGGGTCTCTTTATATCTTTCTCAATTTTCTGAGTTTTAATATCTAAACTAATTTTTATGATAATTTTTTTATTTTTAATCTTTTCTCTCACATTTTGATTTCACCACTGATTATTTTTACTGTTAGGATATTTTTCTTTTGATACTCTAAGCACATCCATAGCAATATTCTTAATATTATTAGCTAATTTTTCTCACATACCATTAACTTACCATGTACATTCATAATTTTAAGATCTTGATTCTTACTCCTAAAAAAAATTTATTAATATTCTTTAAATGCCCTCATCTAATCCTAAGATAACATTTTATTTTATTTTTCATATTCTTGTCCTTCATCTTAAAGTTTAAAACTAATAAGCGATGTTGGGTATATAAACATTCACTCAAAATAACTTTACAATCTTTACAATCTAAATAATCTATTTTCTTGTAATAAAATAATCAATCTTAGTTTTATTATATTCATTTTTAAGCAATGAGATGCTCCTCTCTTTTCTTAAATAAGGTGTTAGCAATTATAAAATCATAAGCTAGATAAAATTTTAATATGATTTTATTACATTCATTAGTCGCTCCAAACCCATAACCTTCATGAATGCTTTTAAAATCTTCTATCTCTCAACCAGCATGTTTATTTAAATCTCCTCCAATAAAAACTTTTTCTTCATGAGATATATTTTATAGTAATTCTTTTAAATTATTCAAAAAATTTAATTATAAAACATATTTGAACTTATTTAAGGAGCATAAACACTTATAATATTAATAATCTTAGTATCAACATCAATCTTTAAAGTTATAATTTAATCTTCAATTTGATTGATTTGCACAACATTATCCTTTAAACTCTTATCAAAAATTAAACCTATGCCATTTTTAGTACGACTTCTATCAAAATACTATAGCTTAAATCCTAAACTATCAATATCCTTAGCCTTCTCTCCAACCCATTTAGTTTCCTAAATACATAGAATATTTATCTTTCTATGAATCATTATATCTATTCATTTCATTAATTTCCTAGTAAGAGAACCTATATTTCAAGTTCCTATCATAATTCTAATTTGATGGACTAACTTATTTGCCCACATCCGTCCGTAATGTGAAAACACTTGCCTATTTAACATTGTGCCCGGGCTTCAATGCAATAGCCCTTCATACTTCTCACTGTATTCAGGCAATACAGCGCGTCGCTTTAAGAAACGCCTTAGCATTAAGGTAATGTATTAAAATATTCATGTAATGACATATTCTTGCACATTAACCCACGTTTTATAAAGGTTATAATGTGTGGCGTCCAGCATGTTGCATCCATTTCCATGAATCATATCGCAACATAGCACAGAACCAATCACACTTAGCCGTGAAGTACATGCTCCTCTTTTCCATATTTTAGGTTCATTTGCTCATTAAAAATTTCTACGCATCCATGATGTTTCCAAAACAACTGGCATGTCAAAAAGGTTCTAGTGCTAAAAGCTAACCCCATCATCTCATGACATGCCGATTTTTACCCTAGTAAAGCCATGCGCTCATGGATTTTCATAAGCTTCTAACAAATAATGGATCCGCCGTACATAAGTAAATCAGAAGATTCCCCCCAAAAAAAATTTTAAATCAAGCTGGCAATTTTACCTCCAATAGCTAATGCTGTAATGCAGTCGTGGTGAGCCTCAATACTAATTGAATTAAAATCATTAACGTCCAACCTTTCACTATGTTCTGCATCAACTTCATCTTGCTTCATACATTTTACCATATGTCTGCCCGTACAAACCTGACCAATATTAAAATGTTCAACTAACGCACCACCTGTCGCTAGTTTTGTCGAAAGGTTGTTAGTTTCAGGAAGCACCAAACACATGTCTCCAATTATCAAACAGCTAACAAAATTCTCCTTTACTTCAGAAGAATCCGTTGCAGCCAATGAAGCCACCTGAGTTTTGGTTAGCAAGCTCCTAATGCAACTCCACAGCTCTTTAACTTGAGGGCGGTTTTGTGGTTGATAACTTAGGCTTGATGTGAGCACTTGAAGTAATGACTCTAGCTTAGTTTCCAAAAGCAAAGCCTCCAATTTGGAGACTAAATTTTCCTTCCAGACCTCGTAATGATCAAACAATATCTCCTTAAAATGTCCAGAGGGGTCTCTAGCGAAGTTATCACAAAATCTCTGAAACAGTTCGTTCCCAAGCATGGCATCACCTAAAAGAATCATAGCTATGGCACAAGCCAATGACCAAACATCTGACCCATAACCCACAAAATCATCAAAACCACAATCAGAAGAACTAAGACTGCCCTGCAAAGAAATAACGACTTCCGGGCTTGCAAAAACCGCTGAATCAGATACCGAAGTACAACCACTCATCATAAGACGAATTCTCTTTCCACTAACCAAAACTCTGCTTAAATCAAGGATACAATGCCCATGCTCGTCAAATACAAAGCAATCAGGTAACAAACATCCACAGACAAAGCACTCAGAATGCAGTGCCATCACCGCTTCGCACATCTCCATAGCCATCATGGAAAAAGCAACCACGTCGTTGATATTCATCTTCTCGGTCAAAACATCCAAAACCCCTTTCTCAAACCTCTCACAGACAATAAAAAGGCGAGAAATCTCCTCCTCCGGATCCATCCACAACCCGAAAACACTTGAAATCCCCCGACGACAACTTGATGAAGCGTTCATTAGTAAACGCAGCTGATTCATTCCGTCTTCCCCCATCTGCTGCAGCGAATTCATCACTCTCGCCAGATAACTTGGCCGTAAACGCCCGCGCTTGGCGCTGAAAGAGCTCAAAGTGTCTAAGGGAAGGAGGATCGCCTTACGGTTCCTATGGGAGGAAGATGAACAGTAAAGAGAAGCAGTGGCAGTTCCCAATCCAGACTCGAAGGTGACTAAGGAGATCGAATCATGGGGAAGAACCAAGTCTTTCCATTTGGCGTAGAGGTCTTCGGTCCAGGGGAGTGGGAGGAGAATGGGATAAGGATTTGGTTTGGAATTGGGGTTGGGGCTTGTCTCTCGGTCTAGAGATCGGTAATCCGGGGAGCAGAATCGTAGGAGATCGATATTCTTAGGGAGGGCGGAGGGACCGAGGTCAGGGATGCGGACCAGTATATTGCATGCGGGGCAACGGACGGTGGATGGGGCGGCCGGGCGCCGTGGAAGGGCGCAGAGGCAGGACTCGCAGGTAGAGTGGCCGCAAGGGAGGACTCGAGGTACAGAGTCGCCGGCGAACTCATAAGGCTGCAGGCACACTGGGCACTCCGGCGGCTCCATTGGTCTTCAGTTTTCCCGGCGTACAATGGGCTTTTGAAACTGTTTGCCTTTTGTTGAAATTTTGATTTATATATTAATATCTAAAATATTAATATTACATGCTTATTCATAATATAAATTTAGATACATGAAATGAAATATTAAAATTTATAGGATGATATGAATAGTAAAAATAAATTAGGACTTTCATTAGTACATTTAAAATTATATTACATCGAATATTTATAAATAAAATTTTATTAAGACATAACTAGCATTTTGGCTTGTGATCATGTGATGGATAAATTATTCTTTGAAGAGTTCGGATGCATTCGGATTGCTAGTGTACATAGTATTATTTTTGTATACAATATGTACATAATGTATACATATTGTGTACACTCATATATCCAAACGTAACTATGCATCTGAACTTCATAAAAAAAAATTTCTAAATGAGATGAGTATTTAGGCTTCCTAAACTTAAAATATACACATAAATGTTATATCATTAAAATATTTATATGAATTATTATTAAATTTAATTTAATATTATAATAATTTAATTAAATATTACATTTAAATAATAGTTTATTTATACCATATAAATTTTTATATTAAACTTACATAACATTATAGTATTTAATATGATATTTTTACCCAAAAAATTATGATAATAAATATTTAAATAGATATTTAAATTTAAAAAATTGTATTATCAAATCACTTTATATTAATAAATCATTATGTGTTGTCAAATCATTTTATAATGGCAATTCAATGTGTGTTGTCATATCAGTTTGTAATGATATATGATGACCTTGGTTCCCCCAATCTCACATGAGGTTATAAAAATGCAATGCTGTGGTGTAAGTCACTTGTTAAACAGGAAAAATATATGTAATCTAGTTAATTTATATAATTCTATAAATTATTATATTTATTAGGTTAATAATTACTTATATTTAAATGAGTAGTTTAGTTACATATGAAAAACTAGAGTGGTGCCTTTTGATTATTCAAATTAAGAAGAATTAATTCTTCAAAAATGAGATCCAATACAATAATAATTTATATAATTAAATAGGAAGAATAATTAAATCTGAGTTAATTATTAAAGCGAGATCAGTATAGACATTGAATTCCTAACAAAATAATGATTCATGCTTAAGATCATGTACTTATTTGATGTTATTGATGTAGCTGCCACAACTTGTCACATGTGCTTTAGAATAGTAATGTATTTTTCAACAGTTTGCATAGAATCATATACTTCTTGTATGATTCTTCATTAAGGTCATATTTTTATATTATTTATGACAAGAACCTGACACATGAGCTAACTTGTATAGCAATAATGTGTATTAAAAAAATTTAAAAAATTAAAAAAAAAAATGTGTATTATAATATTCTCCTAATAACATAGGATCCTTTGTTTGTTCTCTTATATTGATTAAAGTCATTTATTTGATACTTTTGTTAGCAACATCCTACCACAAATAGGTGAGTTGTAAAGTAGCACTATTTATTCTACATTTCTTTAATTTACCTTTAATAATTTTGCAATATTTAACTTTTAAGTTTCATGTGAATGTGAGATATGTTTAAGCCGTGCTAAGGGGTGCATATATAGGTGAAGTTAAGCATTAACAGAAGTTGCTTGTATAAGGGATTTATAGGAAATTATTGAGTTGTGATGTTTTTAATTGTTACATTGAAGATGTATTGACTGAGTTAAGACAAGGTTCGAGATATCTACATAAAAAAGAAAAAGTTTGATAGTAAAACTACATGAATGCATGACTGTATGGTATGATCAGTTGATTGTTTGTTGGAGTAAAAGGAAAATGCAAATGAATATTTATGTGTTGCATGCATGTATGAACAAAAGAAAAAAATTGTTTATTTTGGCATTTGCATGCTGAAATTATGATGATAAACATTTATAAGATGAGAGATTTCATAAATACTTCCAGTTATAAGTATGTTGAGTTGAAGTTCATGGAAATTGATAATCATCTTGTTAGTTCTCACTTTCATCTTATGCGATAGCACGAGGTATGAAGTGAACATGAAGGTGCTAACTTTGGCAACGCTAACATGCAAGCACTTGATTTGGAGCGTGTAATTCCTTACCATCCATGAAATTTAAGTGAGGATGAGTTTTTTTTGGGCCTCTATAAGAAACTAACGAATATGTTATTGCCTATAGTAAGAAAAGAAACTTCTTATTTGCAGATGACTTGAAGAATCTCCAATATGAGTTTGAGTTTTTTGTTTAAATATTGTCCAACTCAAACAAAACTTTAAACTCGCATGCATACATTGTTGAATGTAAAGTAAAGATTTGTAGTCCTAATTACACTGTATGTACCTACCTTTGTTGAGAAATATACTTAACATCATTTATTTAACAATCCATATGAATATAATATTACTAATTTATCTTTCAAAAATAAGAAAGATTGTTCTGTTACATGGATGTAACATATATATATCATGCCAACCTTATTTCTTTAACGTTGGGGAATGGCCCCCTATCCCTAGTGTGTACCTACCGTGCACTTGCTCCTCATCAACATTCCTTTCTTCCTCCTTTTTTGTAGTACTCATTGGCACCTAAGTTTATTAGAGGAACACATCCTGCTGAGTAAGAGATGATGGTAAACCAAATGGATTCATCCAATAAAGGATCTACATGCTTGTTGTATGTTGCATTGGTGACTTCAGTGCATGACTCTTTATTTGAAAGCAATAACAACCCATGTTAGGTTGTACGAGCTCCAATACTATGCTGGGGTGCTTGCTTGTGACGAACTGTAGGCCCCCATCATGGTAGGGAAACTCCACCAAATGATGATGGCACTATAAAGTCACCTCAGCCACATATATTAATTGCCTTGGTTGGTTATATTCTACTCAGTGATGACTTCTCTTTCCCACGACGCAAGAAGGAGCATCAAATATTAACCGCCTAGATGGTTTAGCTTGCTAATACCCTCTTCCCATCCTCTGAATGTGCATCCCATGGTTTTCAGGGGCATCAATAAGTAATGTTTCATGTAGCTTGTTATTCAGCTCGTCAATCTAGTCTAGTGTGTACTGTATAAAACTGACATTCTCGACATGGTCACCGGTGAAGGGATGTGTGATATCTTATGTACTTCTGTTATATTAAACCTATTAACCACCAATGAATTATAATATTAATCTATGTTGATATTAATAGTTTAATTGGCAGTTTAGTATGATGAATATATTTTTTACTAAAGTCATCTCACTTGGCGACCCAGGGTAGAAAGTTTGTTGTGATTGCTTTGGAGGATTTAGTATGTACAAAAACGCCTAAGATTTGTACCACCTCATATATGTAGCCAACTCCTCATTACCATTTCCTTCAATAGGACTGACATGTATGATGTGTGCACACTTACAATCCCATAGACTGATGTACTCCATGTGGTAGTGCCTTCAATTGGCCTGTGCTCTACCCCGACCATCAACTCGCTTGAAGTGTCTATCTGTAGGCTACAAATGTGTCGATTGAACTCCACCAAATTGTCGTATAACTTGATCTAACATGTACCACTCAACATGCTTCCAACTAATTAGTGATACTCAGACAATCCAAATGTTTGATCCCTCACGATAGATTAGAAGTAACCTCAAAATGATATCCTCGTAATATCGTGTCATGATCACTTATGAAATGATCACTTATTAAAAAATTTGCTTTAAATAATAAATATATGATAAAGGTAATAATTTAGATTAAATTCATATATGTTAATATTTAACTCTGTCGTAGCCTATCTAGCTCATCCCTATACGTCAATAAGTTTTCCACTGTCATCTCATGCAACCGATCCTATGCCCACCTATACATGAAATACTATTTCAGTGTGCAAAATAGGAAAAAAATAAAATGGAAAATCTTGATCGTAATGGGAGCTAATACATGTAACCCAGAGGCTTTCTGTTTATCTCTTATGCCAATGAGACCCAAAGTGTTGGCCGCCCACCGTGAAGGTGCTCCCAAGAACACAACTATAGGAGAGACAATTATCTAGCAATATGCAACCTCATAGGCCTTATTGATAAGTATAACTCCTTGTATATATGTTGAGGATGGTACTGTTAATCTATATGCGACCAAAGGCTTTCAAATCATATATGAGTGGGAGGTACTATAATGAAACATATGAACCTGAGCAACCAAACCTGAGAAAGTAGCCTACATAAACCAACCAGAAAATAAACGGAAAGAAAAATAGACCAACGTCCTGACGAACTTCAAGTTCAACTTAAGATTTACCTTTTGTTCAGCAGTCGATCATTCAGAAATGCAAAGATCTTCAAAAACCCTAGACAATGAAAAAGAAGAAAGAGACTAATAGATTTGAAAATGAGCCAAGGCAAAGCAGAAAGATGCGAAAAGATTGAAATCCATGATAACAATTACATGATGCGGCGGTCACGATTGCCGATGTAGCGGCAATGATCGGGTAGAAGAAGAGAATGCACGTCGAAAGCAAGGCACGAAAACTTCCCACAGGATAAAGGAGGCAAATATATTTGAAGAATGCATACAAACTCATCGCGTGCGTGATGTCTCTCTTAGTGCCAAATTACTCTCTTAGCTCCAAATTAGGATATGTCTTAGTAAATATTTTTAAGGCACATAGATATAAATGTCTTGATATATATGTCCTTAAAGTTTTTTTTTTTTTTTTTAGTGTATCATGTATAAAGCATACACTATGACATGCTGCATGAACACCCGAGAATTTAAATCCTCATATGACTCTCTGTAGAATGTCCAGAGTATCCTCCACAAAGCATCAATGAGTTTATCTGTTGTTTTCCCATGGAAAATGATCTTCTTCGTCCACATGATGATGGTAAACTGTCTCTGGCTCTTGGTGGCCGCCTAGTAACTCATCAAAGTATTCATGCCAACTATCCCAACACTGGCCTTCGCCAACAACTAGCACACCCACCATGGCAACTCCATGAACTCTGATACCTAATAGGAGCTGAACATCTTGGAGGGTGGTATTCATCTCACCAACAGGCAAATGGAATATTAATATGTTCATCGGGGGACACCATCGGTCAACCAATGTAGTGATCAAATAATGATCTAACTATATGAACTGCATGTGTTAGATCATGTCCAATCCAATAATATTGTGTAACCTATAAATGAACTGCTGGCACAAAACTGACTACCCTCAAGCAATGCATAAATGAGTAGCTCCAACTAACTGTGATGCTTGCTCAATAAGAAAATTTAGCAAGAGTAACTGAATTATGAAATTATAACAATATTAAAAGAAATACATGCAATAACATAAATTTAAATTAAGTGAATAAAGTATACCTCATCTGGAGCTCCTGCCTTTGTGCGCATGTCCAAGCGCTGCAATACTCAAAATGTAGTCATTGATGGGTGCCTCATTGTATACCTCTGCAGCTCTAAATCGAACACGTTATTATCATTAAAATCCCATTGAAATACTCTAAACCCATTGAAATACTCTAAACCATTCGTTGTCATCATTCAATTACGATAGCCTCCATCATCTGATAAAGTCCACTTAGTTATATCCCTGTTAATTAACCAATCATACGCCTCATATTCTCGGCCTCAACAATTGCGAAGGCTAGAGGAAAAAGACCACCAGTTCATCGATGCCTACAGTATGTTAAGTATATTAATTATTAGTATTAACTTACTATTGAAATATGAAAGCTATTTATATTACTTTCCTTAGGACGGCTTTCTTATTGCTTCTTAATGCAATTTTTTTGTACAAAAATTAAAATTTTTATAATGAAAAACTGCTTTAAGAAACAGTAAGGAAGCCGTCCCAAACGAAGTCTAAGGCTTTATTTAGGACGGCGTTTTTACTGTTTCTTAAAGTAGTTTTTTAGTACAAAAAATTTATGTTTTGTACTCAAAAGTTGCTTTTAAGAAGCTGTAAAAAAGCGGTTCCAAATAAATTAACTTTAGTAAATCCAACTATGGCTTTGTTTGGACGGCTTTCTTATTGCTTCTTAAAACAGATTTTTAGTACAAAAATTAAAATTTGTATACTAAAAAGTTTAAGAAGCAGTAAGAAAGCCGTTCCAAACGAAGTCTAAGGCTTCGTTTGGGATGGTTTTTTATTGCTTTCTAAAACGGAGTTTTAGTACAAATTTTTTTATTTTTGTACTAAAACTCCGTTTTAAAAAGCAATAAAAAAATCCGTCCCAAACGAAGCCTAAATCTTAATAGCTTTCCTTCCATTTATCAATCCTTTAAATTTTGATATAAGTTAATTTCCAAATTCCAATCCTTCAAATTACGATATGTTTTAAAGGCAATAAGTTAATGAAAACTTTATTATTTGAATGTTTTATCATCAGAAATAGTCTGGAATATATTTTGAAGCAGAAAATAATGTGCAGAAAAGCAGTTCCTGTTTTCAAAAAGTGATACAGCTTCAGGTCTGAAAAAAATATGAATTTCATTTCTCATTGCAGAGTCAATAAATAAAAATGTTGAATTGGATGCTGCAGAAAATGAATCCAAGTTAAAAGATTGTAGCAAAAAATAATCAAATTCTTATATTATTAATAAAATAAGAAAAAAATTCACTATAATTAAAAAAAAACATATTTTTATTAAATTCACAAGAATGTGATAATTCCAGAAAAAAAAAATATTATCTATTTTTTCCCAAAAATACTACTTATAATAACTTTTAAAATTTCTCTTTTACTCCAACAATTTTACAATAATTTAACCTACAACTATACAGCTTAATTAGAAGTTTTTAGGGGCCTACCACATAATTTTATTTCTTACCATAAAAGGGAATTATTCACTACATTTATGGTTTGATGGCAAATTCTCATATTGGGGTTAAGATAGGCTTTATGAACTTGAAGCTAAATAAATAATATCATAAGCTTGCCATAAAGCTATATTAATAACTAAATTTCTCCATGATTAGATTATATCACAATAAAAGATGATTTACTAAGTCCAAAGTTAGATAATGACCCTTGATAGATGATAGATCTATCAAGTATAAACACTAATTGTTAAATTGCTAATCACAATAATCTTGCATAAATAATAAAGGCCGCTTTCGTTTACTAACCTTTTCAGTTCTTTGCTTCGACTCCTTGGAATCTACTGCACTCCAATCTTCAAATTTCATGCTTATAATATATTCAACCTCACACGTGAAAGTTAGTGTAAAGCACATAAAAGTTGTGCAAATCACAATTAGGGCCGGGGTGGTACGATTTCTTAAGAAATCGTAAATTTATTTTCCGGTTTCTTAAAAAACCGAAAAATCATGATTTATTTTTTCATTTCTTAAATCATAGAAAATGACATTTCCATGATTTTCCTTCTCAAATTATAATCTGCCTCAGCTCTTAACCTAAATTCAAATAGTTGTCTAAATTTGGCCTCTATAATTGAGAGTGTATAAATAGTGTTCATAGTAGCCATGGATCAGTGGGTTGTGATATAAAGGGGGAAAATTACTTGGTTCGGACTCCGGATGTAGAGCTATGTCTAGACTCCAATAAAATGTCGCCACGTGTGGCCTGATGATCCCATCATTTCTAGTTAGCACGTTTTTTCCAACTTACCGCGGGGTCCCCACGACCTGACCCAAATTAGACGTGAAAATTGAAAATAAATAAGCCAATATCTAAGGTTTATGATGATGACATACTATTTTTGTCACTTGAGATAAGATATTTCCTCGGAAGAAAGCTGAGAGAGAAAAGATAGGAAGAGACTACGAATTTAGAGGATGTGGAATATTGTGAGGACATAAAACGCTGATATATTCTTTTAAAATTATCTTGATCGGGCACGAATCTCGAGGCAAAAATCAACCAGGAAATTTCAAAAATTAAATCCGGGAGCACCTGAACTCCGATTTCAGCGAGCTTACAGTCAAACTGAGCGTCTCAGAAATACGAACCCAACGACACCAAATTCAACCCAATCCGAGCCCAAATGGGTCCAAATAAAGGACCCGAAGCTCTGTTGGAAGGTTCAAACCACAATTTGAGTTACCAAACGGTCTCCGATTTTAACGAGCTTATACTCAAACTGAATGGCTCGGCAAGACGAATCCAACGAGCCAAAGATCGCCAAATTCCAACATCATTAAGGCCTCCAAATGTCCAACGAACTGTGCACGATCGAAGGGTTCAATATCGGCCGTCCATTCGACCACTCCCTATTCGCCCATGATCTCACACCTATTTACGAGCTATGCCACTCCAGAAAAATTATAAATAGAGCCCTCATTCTACACAAAGGAGACTCAAGTGAAGAGAGAGAAGAAGAAGGGAAGAAGAAGAGAAAGGGGAAAGGGAGAATCCTCTCCTCCTCGGCCATCACTAGAGCTCTTCCCGTCGCCTGAATACGCCAGAACTCTGATGGATTTTCGGGAAACGGCGGGATTTTGCAGAATTTTGTAACTTTGTTAGAAGCTGATTGTAAACTTATTGTCTCAACTTGTGAGACGAATTGGTCTTTGTACTTCAAACAAACACTAGTGGAATTATTCAACTGGACGTGGCCCTGTGGTTTTTCCCTCTTCCGGGTTTTCCACGTAAAAATCATGGTGTTCATTCTCTTTTCTGTTTGTGTGCTGAATATTCGTACAACGCTTAGACGCGAATTTACAAACTCTACCGCCGCGTATATTCTAGCCCGCAACAAACGCATTATGCAAGATTAGGGCTGCAAACGAATCGAGCCGAGCCGAGTATGTGAGTGTTCATGTTTGTGTTCATTTAATATCAGCTGTTCAAGTTTGGTTCATGTTTGTTCGAGCTTTATTGTTTGTGTTCATGTTTTGTTCATTTAAATAAATGAGTGTTCATGTTCGTTCGTTTAGTACTTATCGAGCTTTAAACAAACAAATATGAACGAGCTATAAATGTGCTCTATTTTTAGATGTTCATTAATTTAACAAACGAGCTTTATCGAGCTTCCAAACAAACGATTACATCGAGCATATTCGTGAATATATTTAATGATTTTTTTTAACTATCAAACAAACACGTTCATGAACATATCTATGAATAAACACATTTATAATAAAAGCAATTGTCTATGTCGAGTTTGTTCATGAACTTCAAATGATGTTGTTCGCGAACATAAATGAGCCGAACACATTAGTGTTCAAGTTTGTTTATTTAATAATTGAGTATTTAAAATATTGTCCAAGTTTGTTTGTTTAATTAATTAAACGATCACAAACGAGTTTTAATCGAACGAACAACGAGTAGCTCGTCGAACGTTTGGTTCGCTTGCAGCCCTATGCAAGATGCAAAATGTCTGCTAAATTCTAGTAGTGAGAATTTAAACTTTTATAACTGAGAGTATATAAATAGTGCTCTATAGTAGCCATTGAGCTAAGGGGTTGTGATGTAAAGGGGAGACCCCATATCTTACAACTCTCCGGCTCAAACCCATTCACGATTTCATGGTCCAGAATTCTGTCCTCTCCCACCCTTCACTCTTCAAAATTTCAAATCTCGCCGCCGAGACTCAGCGGCAGCAAACTTGCACTGGACGAGAAGCCGGAGGATTTCGACTGCGAAGCTAGGGTTCCTGCTCTCGTGTTTTCGAGTTTTTCTCCTGTTCGCCGTTCTCATCTGGTACTCTCTCAACTGCCCCTTTTTATGTCATATTTCTCCTACAACATGTTTTGGCAAGTCTTGATTCCTGCTCGGCTTCCCGTGTTTCTGCTCCATCACCAGTTCCTTCTTGTCATATGGGAAGTTTTGTTTGTATCTTATGGTGTTGATTACAGATCTGAGTTTATTGCTGTTTGCTATGTGTTGGCTGCAAATGAAAACCTAAGTCTAGGCGAACAAGGCGGTTGTTAGGTTTTGAGCTATGCCAGGTGGACGAAAAAGCTGCAATGGGGTGGTGAACTCAGGTGAGTTGGGCGCTGATGCGCTTATCACTTACAGCAGGAAGAAGCGGACCAGAGCAGTTGACGATGAGGTTTGATACTTCTTGTTTGCTTTCTTTATAATTGTATGATTAGAAGTTTCTGTTTTGATCAGAATTTTTTTGGCCTAGTTTTAAGTAATTGTCCTGTGCGGTATGACTTTCGGCCTCTGATTCCAATCCATTACTTTGTTTTGAGAGTTTATTGCTTTGAACACCTTGTTTTCACCGAAATTTGGTGTTCTATTGAGAGATGTGGTGTTGACTTAAGGCATATGGAGATAAAGTAACCTAAACTACGGGTTTTTGGGTTTTATATAGCATAAGCCTTCTATATGGACTATTTGCACACACGTAAACTTTGACATTTTAGTTCAAGAAGGTTGAGTGGGTGACTTGTAAGGATGTGGGAATTCCGAATAAACGTAAGAGGTGAAAATTTACAAGTATGATGCAATAAATCTTTGACTTAATATAACATAACGCCAGCAATAAATTTTTTAACTACATTGTCCCCTCAAGTTATTGCTAGCATGGTCTGACTTGCATTTGCCATTGTCAGAGTTGGAAGTGAAAGGAAGTTGAGAGTAAGAAGGCATTGGCATTTTTGTCATATAATTGGCTGCATAACTGAAAGGATAATAAAGTGGACTTATTTGTTACACAGAAGAAGACATTTTTCCCTATTTAAACGGTATAAAAAATATCTGGCCTTTAAAAAACATTGTGGCAAATAAACTTGAGTGTATCACCATCATTAGCCTTAGGACCCTTATCCTAACAATTTAGAGTCAGCTTTATCAACATTAACAATAAAATTATGCATATTAAGGAAAATGATTCCATTTTAACAGATCAAAACCAATTTTTTCTTTTTAATTTTCTTTCTGTTGTGAACCTTTTTAGTCTGCTGTTCTTCTAATTTTTATTTTCCATGTTCGTATTTGTTCTCGCAAAGAACCGAATGGAGCAGATGAATAAAAACAAAGAAATTGTTCACAATCATTACAAAAGAGTTGCTAGCTTTACTTTCTGTTATCATCTCTTATGTTCTAAAATTTATCAAAGCCTTAGGGTTCACGGACCAACCATATATTTTCTTATACACTTTGTTCAATAGGCTTTATTGAACCATGTATTTGTCTGCTTGTCAGTGAAGCATTTCTTTTATTATGATGTCATCAAAATTATTAGAATATTTTTGGATTACAATGATATGGTGAAATCATAAAGCAAACCTTGTGGTGATGGCTGGAAAAAGTTTCCTTCTCTTCTCAAATGCTTTGCTTTGCAATGTGCTAAGTGTTAACTCTAGGCATTGTCTCACCTAATTAGTTGAGGCACCACAATGGAGCAATAAGTATCCTAATTGGCTTGCGTAGTATTCATGTTAGTCATAGGCGGTGGATTGTCCTTTGCATTTACTCTCTCTGTACATATATTATGATGCAAATATCAATCTTAGTTATTTGTCAATCAGGTAAGTATAAAGTTGTGTTGGATCTATTGATATTATGCAATTGCATTATATGTATAACAATGTATTTTACTTTATGTTTAAATTCATTCGTCTAGTGATGCGGACCTTTTTGATCTACCATAAACTAATAGACATGCCTCTTTATATGCATAATAATGCATATCTACTTTATTTTTAGAGAGATGCTCTGTTATTTTACCCCAGTGCATGGGTGCAGGCCTTTTTATCCCTAAATTGCATGCGAGCTTTACCTGTATTATGCAAATATTTACTAAATTGTTCATGGACGTTTATTGTCTGGATTCAATACTCTGAAATGCAAGAACTCAAACTTTATTATGCTTCTACTTTCAAAATTGAAATTTATGTGATTATCTTTAATAACATTTTGGTGCTTCACTAGTTACATCCATCTGACAGTTTTCTATCATCCCAATTTTCTCGTCTAGTAATATATCACAACTTTCTTGTGGCAGTCTATGAAGGAATCTCTTGATAGCACCTATGAGCATGATGTGTTTTCTAGAGTTGGCAGTCACTGGAGAAATACTTTGGAATGCATGCTTCATCTTCCAGGTGTCGGTGAAGGTGGTGGTATCAAGAGCTCTATCCTTGATGCACTTGAATCCTGCCCTCCTAGCTTCACCAAGAAGACTAAAATGAAGGTTCCTGCTGCAATTGTGCAATCAATAATACCATAGTTGTTCTTCTTTTCTGGATCAATATTGCACTATGCTGAATATGTTCAAACTAAATGTTTATGTATTACCAGGATAGATATACGGGCAACTGTGAAATTGAGGATCCACCTGAAATTAAGGATGTCCTTCCTGCATCAGCAGCAGATGTATCGAATATAAAGTTAGAGGGTCAGCCGGATATGAACAAGAGCACTGAAAAGTGTCAAAAGGTTTTGCGGGAAATTTTTTGTTCAGAGAATTTTGCTTCCTTGTGTGATCTAGTATGTGAAAGTTTTCAGAATAAAACTGTCAGAAAATTACTTGACTTCAGCCTGATAAATTCAAATTTGAAAAATGGAGTATATGAACAGTTGCCAGTTTCATTTCATGAAGACATTCAACAGGTATTTTTTACGCATTCACCTTAGAATGATTATGCTGTCTCTGTCCCATTTTGTCTTGTGTTATTCATAAATATTGTTTTTAAACAAATTAAAGGTTGCAACATGCTTTTTGATTTCTTTTATGAATCATTTTACACAAATATTCCTGCTAAAATAACAGACTTTGCCATTGAGGAAACAGTAAAGTTATTGTTCATTGATGTTTACTATTCTTAATTGGTAAAACTCGCTATCGATATCGAGCTTTCACATTTTCTTTCACATATAGCTATTAGGTAATCTCCTTTCTAAATACTTATTTAGAGCCTTGTTATTCTTTCTTTCATTTTGAATTTAATTAAGTGATTGAGAGATTTATAATATCATAATTTAATTTAGTAAGCTGTTTTTGCTGCTTAATTTGGGTGTTAGAGGCATTTACCCTCATTTCCACTTTATTAATTATCAACATATTCAATGTCTCCGCTTATTCTCAACTTGAGTTGCAAGTTTTTGTTAGAATGCAGTTTTGTTTTTTGGTGGGAAAATATAAGATTTCGAAAAATTGCAAACTAGAATTGTTTTTTTTATTTGACCTAATGCCAGAATTTCTTGAAATCTTTACTTTTCTACGGGATTTCTTTTGAAATATGATATAATATTAAGCTAGTATTTCATAACAAACACTAGTAGTAATATAAGATTTAAAAAAAAAACCCTAGAGGTACTTTCATGATATCCTTGACACAACATCAGAGTTAGTTTTTCTTGTTTAAAAAATAGATTTAACTAATTCTTTTGCTTGTTTTGAAACTATTATCCTTCTCATAAAGATACCAAACTACTAGGAATTTTATACAAATAAACTTTGTTTTCTGTTTAATTTAAATGTATAGTTTTCCTGCATTTGGTGACATTACTTTTTATAAATATTAATTTGTTAAAAATAATGTTTGTATTGTGGAGGAAATCTTGATTTCTTTTGGTTTTTAAAATTCGTAGTATCTTGTTTTGGGCAAATTCTTTATCCTTGGTAGATTAGTATTTTAATTTGTGCTGGGATAGTTTCATTACTATTACATGATTTTTTGTTGTTCTTCTTAGTTTCTTTTCAAATGAGAATATTTCTTATCTCTTACACAGTTGTGGTGCAAGTTTCAAAAAATTGGTCAAGACATCCTGCTTCTTTCTAACAGCCTTTCCAAACAGTCCAGGATTTACTATGGAAAGCAGGTAAAAATATAATTTGATTTTTTTAGTTGGCTTAATTGTTTTTCATGAGTTCCTCTAAATATATTTACTTTTTAGTTGATATTTTCTTCAATGATTCTGGGATCTGTTTTCTCATTGATCTCTTGCTCCACGTTGAACTTTCTTGTATGAAGGCCATTAAGAATTTCTTCTCATTTTTTTAGGTTGGAGAAAAGCTGGAATTGGAGGCTAGTGAAGAAAAGTTTGAGGCAAAATGTTTTTGCCTGACTAGCTATTTTTCAATGATTCCTTTGTGCAATGTCTTATTGAATGTTTTCATTGCTTTAATTTTTTTTTCCCAGGAGAACATCGAAGGTGTTGCTGAGCTGAAGAACTCCATGAACTCTTATGTCAATGGACAGTTCCCTTTGAGTGAATCTGGTCGGTCTAATAAATTGGATCAAAGTGAAGCATCTTGTCTGTGTAAAACCTATGCTTGTAAGCAGTGTGGCATTGAAACAGTCGGTGAACACAGGCTTATATGTGATGGCTGTGAAGCAATATACCATTTCTCTTGTGTTGAGCCTTTTAGCCAAGCAGTCCCTTCTCGAACCTGGTACTGTTCTTCTTGTCATAAAGATGAAAGCAAATCACCAGCAGCTGTCAGGGATAATCAACTTAAAGGTTTGCACAAAAATTGGGCCATCTCTGATAGGCCTGAAGGTTCTATGGCGGAGAAAAACATCATTAATAACTTTAAAGAATGTCATTGTTTGAATAAACCATGTCAAAGTGAGGCCTCTTGTCGGCACAAGGTCCATACATGCAAGCACTGCAGCACTGAAGCAATTGGCGAACACAGCCTTATATGTGATGGATGTGAGGAAATTTACCACTTCTCTTGTGTTGAGCCCTTTGGTGAAGAGATCCCCACTCGAAACTGGTATTGTGCTTCCTGCCGTGCCGACAGAAATGAAGCACCGGAACCTGTTATAGAGATTGAACAAGATGGCTTGCACCAGAACTGTTCAGTATGTGATAGGCTTGAATTTTCTGAGGTTGAGAAAGACATTACTAATGATACCAGGGAGAGCTCTGTTTCGAGCATGGAATCAGATGGCCCTCCAGAACCATCAAGAACTGCCCTGTCACATTTGTGCAAGCTATGTGGAACCTGTGAGGACGAGGACAGGAGATTCCTGACTTGTGGGAACAATTACTGCCCTTACAAGTACTACCACATCAGATGCCTAAGAAACAGCCAGATTGCTAGTCAGCATCAGCAAAACAGGCGTTGCTGGTATTGCCCATCATGCCTATGTAGAGGTTGTCATTTAGATCAAGATGATTCTGAGATCGTACTATGTGATGGTTGTGATGATGCTTACCATACTTATTGCATGAAACCACCCAGAACATCAGTTCCTAAGGGCCAGTGGTACTGTGTCCAGTGCAACTTGGCTAGGGCCAAGGAAGGAATACGAAGGCACGAGCAATGGATTTTGCAGCAGCATTGCAAGAAGGACACCTTTCAAACTGTTGAAAATAATCGTCCATTGGATATATTGCTGAATGCTGTTGAGAAGGTGAGTTCTGAGAATTGATGGGCGTAAGGACTATATAAACAAGTGTTCACTTGAACTATGGCCATGGCCTTGTGATGAATTTCTTGCTGGTAAGAATATTGACTCTGTTGTTGTATACTTGGCTCTTGTTTGTTAAAGATACCGGTCCATTTGCTCTGCTTCTTTAGTTGCTCAATTTGACCAATTCTTTTAGTTTTCGATTATCTATTCTATGATTACCCCTATAATGGAAGAAGAACATTGACCTACTTCAGGATTTTGCAGCGGCCTAAATGATGCCAAATACTGAAAGCTGTATTCAGTGTATTTTTTATTTTTTAAATGATCTCAAGACCTGTGCAAGGATACTGCCGTAGTGAGATTGATCTAAATCCTTCTAACAAACCTGTGCAACATATTCTTTCCTAACTATTCTGTTAACTCAATTTGTTGGCTTCCTAATTGCATGAACGGATTTTTGACATTTTAGATCTACCTCATAATGGATTACTTTATGCAATTTTGTACTTGAACTTAACTGACTTGTCCAAATCTCCTGCTGCAAACAACATTTTATAGGACATTTTTATGTGGACATGGACCGGAATGCAGCAGGCCCAGACGGCGCGGTCTGATTCGACTTGTGTGTGGCTTGGAGAACCAAAAGAATCTAACTTGTTTGAGAAGATTGTATTGTTTTTTGTAGTGCATAACCCTGTTAACCATCCTCTTTTCAAGGTCACATCTGTTTCGTCGATCTTTGCCTTTTGTTCTGGAAGTAATTATTTGCTCTACTGGTAGATAGATTGCAACTACAAGCACCGTATAGATCGATGTGTTTTGCTGGTTCTCTTTGTTTTTGTTATCTGTCTGTTGAATATAAGCGAGTTGAGTGGGTTTTAACACATCCACTCATCTCCTCACCCACCCACCTACACGATTCATGACCTGCTTTCTTTGATCTTATACACATTTTAATACTCTACGCATATGCCTGTATTTTGTGCTAAAATTGGGCTTCTTTTGTCCTTTTGCATATTGAAATTGGCCTATTAATCTTTAGTTGCTTTTCAGAATGAAAAAAAAAAAACCTGTTTTAAGGATATCTTGATGCAATTGTTTCTAGTTTATGATTTTTGAAAATTAAAACGAATTGGTTTCGATGTTTATCGTTTAATGTTATTGATTATTAAGATATTGTGTTCTGTTCTTACATGAAATAGAATAATAATCAGATAGAAGGAAGTACTAATCAAATATTTCAAGCGATAATTATTTGTCAGGACTCTGGTAGTCTATAAATTGTATGGTCATACCAAAAAAAAAAAAAAAGGAGGGTGGAAAATCTCTCAAAATTCTGACAAAAAATCTCTTAATATTTTAGAAGATTTATAAGGTTTCATTTGGATGGATTTTTTATACTTTTTAAAAGTAAATTTTTAGTTTAAAAAATAAATTTCTTTTGGAATAGCTTTTTAATTGCTCTTAAACTAATTTTTTAGTATAAAATTTTTGAGTTCAAGAAATTAATGTACTAAAAATTACTTCAAAAAGAAATAAGAAAGGTGTTCCAAATGAAGTCTAAGGCTTTGTTTGGGACAGCTTTTTTATTGTTTTCTAAAACGGAGTTGTAGTACAAAATTTTTTATTTTTGTACTAAAATTCTGTTTTAGAAAGCAATAAAAAAGCCGTCCCAAATGAAGCCTAAATCTCTTTCTAGTGCTTTTATTGGTCTCAAGCTTTTTGAAATCTTCAATTTTAAATTTGACATTTTAAAGCTGATTTTTATCTTGATAAGAATTTGATCTTTTAGAAACAGGCTTTGGCTGGCTTGGTCTTTGAGCAATGAAAAGGAGTGATTGAAAAAGTTTTGATTTACAAATCCATTAATGAAGTTTTGGAGTTTCATGTGCTTTAGAAGTTCATTTAGTATAATCTTAATGAGATATTTGAAGGTGAATGCTGATCGGGTTGGGACAATTGACTATAAATTTGCATTTCTTTTATTCTGGACTGTGTTCCATTTCTTTTTAGTCATCACCTCCAATATTTATTTGATAATTAAAATCATGTGAGTAAGATTCTCATATATCTCCTATAGGAATATGATGCTAAGAAAACTATCATCATAGAAGCTCATAATTTGATAATATGAAGGGAAGTTGATACTGTACAAAATATAATTTATAAAAAAGTTTAAAGGAGAGAAGAGCTTAGTATTAAAAGTTGTTTCTATGGTGAGTCCAGTTGAAAAGCTAGACAATGACTAACCATTGATCAAGATAGAGGTCAATGTTGATCATAAAATTACCATGTTTACAAGAAGATTCAAGGAGTTAATGGAGAAAAGAAAGAAATTTAATATTTTTTAAGGGTCTTTCATAAAAAAAGAGTAAAAAAAAATGACATTCCTTGAATTCTACTAATAATATTCAATATATTTCATCATCATTTTGAGCAATAGATCCGAGATATCTAAAACGTGTACTCTTATTAATGATTTGATCGTCGAAAGTCATAATCTCATGACTAGAACTATTACTATTAAAATTACATTCAATATATTTGATTTTAAATCTACTCAAATGAAAACCTTTAGACACTAAGGTTGATCTTCATAATTTAAGTTTTTCTTTAATTTCCTCTATAGTCTTATTAACAAGAAGAATATCATCAATAAAAAGCATAACACCAAGTTACATCCTCTTTCAAATGTCTAGTAAGTACATTCATGACTAAAGTTAAAAGATATGGGCTTAAAGCTGATCCTTGATATAATCCAACTGAAATAAGAAAATTCTGAGTCAAACTATCTTGTGTTTGAACACAAGTAATAACTCCTACATATATATCTTTAATGAGTTGAATATAAACATTATTAATTCCTTTCTTTTTTAAAACTCTCTACTCATAAAATTTTATAATTTGTTTTCTCTAACTCAATAATATCATACATAGATCCTTCTTATTTTTTCCTTCTCCACCATCAAGCCTCTCAATAAATGTATGACATCCATAGTTGACTTGTATTATACAATAACATTATATATATTTTCAATTCTGTAAGCAGTAGCAATTTTAACAGTTAAGCAAACCCTGCATCTCAATTCACAACCTATAAAACTTTCAAAATTATCTAGTTATTAGTAGCAGTTTCAGTAACTACGAAGGGAATTAGTTGTGGCTTATAGCACAATTAAATTAACTATCAAGTTCATTACAGTAACAAAAATAGATCGATTTACGTTAACTTTTGGGTCAGTTTTCTTACTATTTTATTTTTCAGATCATAATCATAATTTCTATTTGGCCATTAGTTTTTCATTTATTTAAAGAAAATTTTGTATTAAAAAGCTATTTTATAATCATTTTTATAAAAAGCTCAAGCCGTCCCAAATAAACCCTTAAACTCTTGCAAATCTGGAATGAATTGTGGCCATAATAATTGCTTTCAATGCAAAGCTTGAGCGGTATTAACGAACATTACATAGAAGTCATAACTAGAGTAGCGGTTTTGATTTTAAGGTTTTTAAACAGTTTTGATAATTAAAGTTTCTTGCAACAGTTAGCCAACAACAAACAATTGTTACAGCGGTGATAATCGTTGGAAACGAAGTAACTATATTCAGTTTCATCAAAAAAATTATCTTGATCGGGCATGAATCTCTATGCAAAATCAAATTAGAAACTTCCGAAATTAAAATTGGGATCATCCAAATTCCGATTTCAGCAAACTTATAGTCAAACTGAACGTCTCGGAAATACGAAACCAATGACACCAAATTCGACTCAATCCGAGCCCAAATGAGTCCAAATCAATGGCCCGAAGCACTGTTGGAAGGTTCGAACCACAATTTGGATTACTAAACGATTTCCAAACATTACATGCTTATAGTCAAATCGAGCGGCTCAACGAGACGAATCCAACAAGCCCAAGATCGCCAAATTTCAACATCATTAAGACCTTCAAATTTCTGGTAAACGATCCACAATAAATGAATTCAATATCGGCCGTCCATCCAACCACTCCACATTTACCCTTGATCTTCACCTATTTACAGGCCATGCCACTCAAGAAATCTATAAATAGACCCCTCCTTTCTCTTGAAATTGGGGAGGCTCCAAGAAAAAGAGCAAGAGAGAGACCGGAGATCGCTCTTGCCTCCTCACACCTCCTCGACCACCGTCGAAGTTCTGCCGGACCCCCGCCTAATATCGTTGCTCCGCCAGACCACCACCTGACGTCCTCCGAACTTCCGCCAGACCACCACTTGAGGCCCTGTGCTCCGCCAGGCTACCGCCTGATGACCGAACTTCTGCCGAACCACCACCTGACGTCAAGACTTCCACTGGATCACCACTTGAGGCCATGTGCTCCACCAGGCCACCACCTGATGCCCGGACTTCTGCCGGACCACCACTTGAGGCCCTGAGCTCCACTAGGCCTCCACCTGACACCCGGACTTCTGTCGGACCATCACATGAGGCCTTGTGCTCAACTAGGTCACCACCAAACGCCCAGACTTCTACCGGACCACCACTTGAGGGACTGTGCTCCACTAGGCCACCATCTGATGCCCGAACTTCTGTCGATCCACCACATGACGTCCGAACTTCTGTCTGACCACCACTTGAGGCGTTGTGCTCCACCAGGCCACCACCTGATGCCCAGACTTCTGTCGGACCACCACTTGAGGCCCTGAGCTCCACCAGGCCACTACTTGACACCCGGACTTCTGTCGGGTCATCACTTGAGGCCTTATGCTCCATCAGGCCACCACCTGATGCCTTGACTTCTGCTGGACCACCACTTGAGGGCCTATGCTCCACCAGGCCACTGCCTGAAGTCCGAACTTCTGCCGAACCACCACCTGATGTCCGGACTTCTGCTGGACCATCACTTGAGGCCTTGTGCTTCACCAAGCCACCACCTGACACCTGAACTTCTGCCGGACCACCACTTGAGGCCCTGTGCTCCACCAAGCCACCACCTGAGGCCCGGACTTCCGCCGGACCATCACCTGACGTTGTTGCTCCGCCGTACCACCACTTGAGGCCCTCATCTCCATCGGACCACTAATTGAGACCCAGGCTTCTATCGGACCACCACCTAACACCCTGACTTCTGTCGGACCACCACCTGAGGCACAAACTTTCGTTGGACCATCGCTTGACATCGTTGCTCCGCCAAACCACCACTTGAGGCCCTGTGCTCCACCAGGCCACCACTTGAATCCCAGACTTCTGTCGGACCACCGCCTGACGCATTTGCTCCGTCAGACCACCACTTGAGGCCCTCACCTCCACCGAACCACCACTTGAGGACCGGACTTCTGTCGGACCACCACCTGAAGCTCGGACTTCTGTCAGACCACCACCTCAGGCCCGAACTTCCGCCGGACCACCACTTGATTTCATTGATCCACCGAACCACCACTCACTACAGGAAAATCACTTATTACCGGCGAAATTTTTCGGCGGCTTTCCGGCGGTCAAATTTCCGGCGGCTTTCCGGCGGCGTTCCGGCGGTTTTTGACGGCTTAAAATTTCCGGCGGCGTTCCGGCGGTTTTCCGGCGGCTAATTTCCCCGCGAAATTTTGCGACGGCTAATTTCCCGCAAAATTATCCCGCGGAATGGCTCACGCGAGCGCGGTCCGACGCGGTCTGGTCCGGCGCGACTCAAGGCCTGGCGCGACCGCCCGCCGGAGCGGGTTGCTGGCGTGCCGCCGGAGCCGCCGGGGAGCGGTTTCAGCGGGAGCGGCCGGTTCTGTTTTTTTTTTTTTTTTTAATTTCCACCGGCGGTTTTTGACCGCTG